GAGTGTCCTTACCTCTGGTAAAGGTTTAGCAGGTCTGCAGTGGATCCCACCAACATATTTGAAGTTGGGGAGGAAAGGACGAGGGAATTCAAAATCCCAGTAGGTTCGGATTAACCAGATGTCTGCTTTACTCATCAACTCACAGGCACTGGTGGGAGTTCCTGTTGCAATGCATGAACAATAGACATTAACATATCACCAATAGTTCATGCAGGTTGTATTTTCTTGGGCAGGTTAGATGGGATATAAAAACACTGCATTTAAAGCTTTAGCAGACTTCAAATATTGTTGTTTTTTTTCAACCGTGTGCTTCATGTCCATTTGCTCACCTTTGACATCAGAGTAATATCTGTCTAATACGTTCCAAAAAGTGTGATCAATCGTGATGTCTTGAAGAGCGTAGAAGAGAAAGTTCCACACTCTCTCTGAGAAGTCCATCTTATCTGTGAGTTTGCTCATTGCACCAGGCACAAAGGATGGTGGAGCAGGCATCTGACCACAATGCCTCTCCCAGTTATTAGCTAAGGAGAAGCGCAAAGAGAAGACGAGTGGGATCCCCAAAATATCTGCTACCAAGTCACTGCCAGGGTAGATGGGGTCAGCCAAGAGAAGGTCATAATTTCCTTCTTTCAACTTCGTCATGATGGCTTCCGATTTCACCACACCGTCCAAATACTGGATAGAAAACCGCAGGTTAGCTTTCATCATGTCAATTAATCTGATGTAGATCTCCCAGTAGCTCATATAATGACTCTCATACAGACTGAATTGGAGGAACTCTTCTAGATACTTCAGTAAAGCCTCCAATGAGAAAGAGGCATTGAAGGGCTCATAGTGAAAGCGGGCAGGTTCATTGGTGTTCATGTACATTGACGAGCTCGGGACCAGTACAGTCACCTGGTGTCCCCTGTCAATCAGCGTCTCCAGAACAAGCTTCATGTTTATCCAGTGGCTGCCTTCGGTGTACCACACCAAAATATTTCCTCCATTTGCACACGATGTTGCACAAAGTATCAGCAGAATGCAGGCAGAGAGACGCAGCTCCATGGTGTCTGAATCTCAGCAGGAAAACCAGCTGTGGTCTGATCCTTTGGTGAAAGCATTCCAGGAAAAAATAATTATTAACTTAATAAAGGTGAACTCTGGCTCACTTCTTTCTGTATTGCATTGGTCATTTTACAATGGGTTATAAAGCAATGATTGTAAAGTTGACAGTACTGAAAAAACAAGACTAAAATCTAACTTGTATGAGAAATAAATAAATATGTCAGAGCCTGATGTTGTAGCTGTTAGTTGAGGAGAGAGAGAGAGAGTGACGTAATACAAAATAATAGTCAAAGTATTCAAAAGGATCCACCTAAAGACTGCAGCGATTTCAGATTTCTTTTTAATTTTACATAAAAATTCACAACAGGTATGAACAGATTGATTATTATTATGGTCCGAATACTGGGCTTTTCTCAGTCCACTATGAGCAGCTCATGGTGACTACAAGAAGGGAAAAAACTCCTAGTCTCTCTTTATAATAACCACCTATTAATTTTTAAAATGCCCCCCCTCCCAAAAGATAATTACTGATTGAAGAAAACCCAACCTGGATTTAACTAAGAAACTGAGGTGTTTAACTGTGAGATATTGCAAATAAAACCAATAAAGATTTATTCCAGTCAAAACATTATCTATTTCTTGTGTGTAAGTAAACAATTTCTAAGTTAGCCTGCCACCTGAACCTGACACCAACAGCTCTCTAGAACAAAATCGCCCTTGAAAGAAATTAAGTTAACAAAACAAATAAAGCCACGAGGAAAACCAAACAATGAAGTAAGGACATCAATCTTAGAGAAGGACAGGCCGCCAAAGTTTTACCGTTATACAACCTGGATTTAAGGCGTTAAAGTCGGGCCCCTGACGGAGATATGATCCGAGAGCCCCCAAATTAAAGTATAAAGTATCAGTATGAATGTAACAGCTTGCACAACATGGGCAAAATGTCTCCAAGTGTAGCTTACCAGAGTAAAGAGACGGTGATCCCGACAGCAGGTGACAGAACAGCGGCTCAAGACCGGCGAAAGTAAACACGGGCTGAATCCGCTAAAACTTAAGGTTACGGTATGTGTATAAAACTCTGGTTCTCTGAGTAACATGAGTGAGTGTCATACTATGGAAACGCTTCCTGCGTGACATCATCAGAAGCTCAAATGCCATTATGCCAGCCCTTACAGGCTGCTAAGTGACGCCCATGTTAGGAGGGACTAATGCCTCCCTCTATAATAGGCTGACATAGCATCAGATGTCATTCAAAACAACACATAACCTTAAGTTCTTTCATAGCATTCCTTTCGTGTCTCACTATGGGAGAAATACCGACTCCCGGATTGCCAGACATGCTCCAAGTAGTTCATATAATATATATAATCAATGTCGTATATGGAGAATCGCAGGAAATCTTCTAGAAACGCCTCCATATATGTGTATCTATCGATATAGATACACACACACACACACACACACACATATATATACACACACACACACAGACAGACACAGACAGACACACAACAAAACACCACACACGAACACACCTAACAACACACACACAACCACACACACACACACACACACAATACACACACACACACACACACACACACACACACATGTATATGTGTGTATGCGTGCATGCATACATACATTTTTTTAACAGAAAACAAACAAGAACAACGCCCCCCCACCCCCGTGGCTAGCCCAACTGCAGAACACACTGGTGATCAACAGCTAGAAAGCGGGCCTCCTTCCACTGTTTAAACACCACACACACACACACACACACACACACCACACACACACGCACACACACACACAAAAAAAAAAATAAATAAAAAAAAAAAAGAAGTAAAGAAGCCAAATATACAACAAAATAAATTAGACCTTGGAGCTAGAGCAGAAGGCGTCACAGTGTCACGCCAAATCATCCTTCATCTGACTGCTCTAATTGAATGATTCAGTTCATTAACATACACACCAACCGGCTTCTCTCTTAAATGTCCACTTCTAAGAAGCTGGCAGCAACAGGGCAAAGGAAATCCCAAAAGAAAAAGGCAAAGCAGCAGCACTTCTGTCAGCGCAGCAGTAGCGGCCCGCTGTCAGGCCGCCCACTGAAACCTACACTTCCTGCAAGGCATCATATCGTGAGTGTTTACTACAGAAAAACTCAACTCAACTATGACTGTGACAAATCGGACTTACGTACCAATCAAACGGTGTCGCTCAATTCATTAACACAGTGGCTCACTGGAGGCTTCTGCGGCTACAACCTATAACCTACAACAGAGTGAAATAAGGTACGCATGGCGCCAAATAAACACATACCAGCCGCGATGGAGGATTCAGGAAGATAATCCGCGGGTGATCGCTGTAACACGAACAACACAATCAAAACGTGTACCGCCAATTCAGTCTGAGGCAGCAGCGACAAGCACGCAAACCTCTACCTGTAACACCGGGGGAAGTCAGGTGACCGAAAAGCCGGATGCGGCTGACAGCAGGTGAGCGATTCATGGACGCTCAGATGGCGGCTATTATTTATAGCAGCGTCATCTAATGTGCTTGACTAATAGCGGGATCAAAAATTAGTAAATATGATACTCAATCTGCTACATAAAAGAACTGATAAAAATTTATTTTACAGTCTTTGTGATGGTCTCTCCAGATTTGAGGAGGATGTGAAGCGCCCTGAGGCAACTGCTGTTGTGATTTGGCACTATATAAATAAAACTGACTTCAACTAAACTCACCTTAATAAGAGAGGTCCAAAAGATCCTCTTGAGTTTCATAAATCCTGCCTCCATTCTAAGTGGATACAGCCTTAAAACAGACCTTTGTTTTATCTAGTTTACCTTTAAGCTTCTTTTAATTTATTTTTTCATTACACAGATGTTTTCACATCTGTCTGGCTAACAATCCTCACTAAACTTTGGTACACAAGAAATGGATATGAAACCACATGGATATTTTTGAAACCAGAAGCATGCATGTTTGTCACATCTGAAGATGGCACTCTAAAGACGTAATTTCCCCCCCTGACCTCACCTTTTATGGTGAGCACTTTAATAGAATAAGATACAAGATACAACATGCCAAACACAATTAATTGACTCAGAGCAACAGATATTGAAACGGCATCATGCTCCTGTGGTCTTGTCCATTTCAATTTAACAATCTTAACTGTACTATTTGTAATGTGCCTAACCAAAGTTTGCCTACAACTTTGACCACCACGTGGCAACTGGAAAGTCTTGTTGTAGCTACTCGCACCTTTCTTGGAGTAGTAACAAATATTAAAGAATTGCAATTAAGCTAATCAGCTTAATTGTATATCATATTTTGTTATATGAAATATCTCTCAAAAACATTTTAAAACATGTTTGGAGTGTCATCAACAATTACATATTCGTAGATATCATTGTCTTTTATCAGTCTACAAGAATATTGTTAATCATTGATTTATTTTACTCTTGAAGAGCTATCGTGTTTGGGTTTTTTGTTTTTTCATAGGAAATGAGCATGGTGTCTTTCTGGGAGACTCTAGTGGTGATGAGGGTCTCCTTCAAGGTTTTCATTCATTGCATGCTGTCCCATTGACTAAAACACTGGTACTTCCTTTGCCTCTCCATTGTATTTCCTACATCTTCCAGGGCAGAGTTAATGCTGTATCTACTCACAAGTTGTGAAAGTACTGCTGGCTCTATTTCACATTAAATTGACACATCTATTGCATAAATGTTTTGGACAGTAAAATGTAGGTTGCTTTTTTTTTGTAACCAGTAAGAAAATCTTCAGATGTCTTCCTGTTTACTACAGCTGCTCCATGGGATGGTGATGGATACATCAGTGGTTAAAAGCTAACCCGCAACAAGCTCACAGCTGAATACATCATAATGATCCATTCAAGAGAGTGATGGGTCACCACCATGCAAATGTTTTATTTGTTATTACAAAATCCTTAGAGAGTATCATCTCATTGTTGAGTTAATTTGATCCACATAAAGATAAATCATTATCATACAGTGAAATCTGACTTTAAATTCCACAGAATCATGATCCAGATATCAGATTTATTGATGAAGATGTTGATTGTCACAGTTCCTAGATTGAA